AGCTCACTTAAGAGAAACCTGCTTTCAGAGACCTGGCTTAATTGCTGCTTGAATTAGTACGGGTTTGTACGTGGCGGGTGGGATCTCTTTGGGTGGGATGTTTTGCATTGAGCAAAGTACAACTTTCGGTAGACCTCTCCTCCCCCCCGCCCTCAACCTGTCTGAACTAAATGCATCATCGCTACCCGCTGCACCCTAAACATCAACTAATAGCCATGCTCTTTAGGGGTTGGACTGGTTCCCTCTGCTCAGAACACTTTTGTTCTGAAACTACCTGCTGTGTTTTCCTTCCGCTTTGATTTAGAGAAATATCAAGACCCATCTAGTCGAATTTGTCTGTTATAATACACAATAGAACTTCCACATTTTTTTCCCCCTAATCATTGTTCAATTACATGTTCTAAAAGCAGTTCTGAGTCTTGCTTTTTGGCTTGCTGGCCTCTCGTTTTAGTCATGAAGGTGTTACACACGCGTGCGTGCACGCACAGTGAACTCCCTCTGACAAACAGGTTTTTTATCTATTATATGAGCTCTACTGTGGATGCCATGTTCAGTAGCCTTATCTCCCGCTAAACAAAGTTTTCGCACCTGCTCAACTCTGAAGACTGACCGCCGCCAAAATCCGCAAAGATCATTTAAAACTAAGCTCAATTGTGAACCGATAGTGTATGTAGGCCTGTAGTTAGGTGTAGCGATTCAAACTGACCTGCATCCATCCAAAACAAGTTGCTCCTCCTCCAAACCTAATTTTTACTTGAAATCAGCTAGAAGAAATGACAAACTTAAATTTATTTTATTTGCAAGTTAATACCACTGGCTCAGCAAATGTAGGGCAATTTGTTTTGGGGGTTGTCTTTAAAGAAATGCACTACGGCCTGGGAAGGTTAGTTCCTGCCTGGAGGAAGCCCTTTTATTATTGCTGCAGAAAACAAAGCCTGGCTGAGTTTGATGTTCTAATGTTTGTTTGGTTGGTTTTTTTTTTTTTTCTTTACTGAAAGCCACATAATGCTTCTTGCTGGGTTTTTTGTGTACATAAACATTGTCAAGCTGTGAAAGAAAATGGCTGAAGGTGTGCTGTTGTATAAAAGGTGAGCAATAAAAGTATCTGTATGTTCCCTTTGCTTTAGTTTCTTTTCCTTCTTGGTAGTAAAGAAGCAGTTGTTACGGTAGGCGGGGATTTCTGTCTGCTTCATCTATTTTACACTTTAATCTATTTTAGATGTTGTAGAAGCTGTTAGAGCAGGAGTGGACAGGAGGAATTGCTCTTCAGTTGCTCCGAGTTTTGTTCTGTTCCTCTACACCTCTGAACTGGTGTAGCAGCGTGTAGTGCTCTCTCCTGGGAGTCGCTGTGTGAAGTTCTTCTTAGGGTGTGTGAGCACCGGTCTCCAGGTTATGCTCCTGCATGCCATGGGATCGTGGTACCCTGCTTCTGGGAACTCTCCTGAGGCTCTTCCAGCTTTGTGGAGAATGGAAATGCCCCTGTGCTCGGATCTCTGTATCAGGGGCTGTGCCGATTGCAGAGTCCCTGGCTACCTGGAGTGCCCTTGGGGCTGAATCCAGGTTGATGCAGGCGGGAGTTCCTTGGATTACAGAAATAACACAAGAGTTTGAGAGAATCTGCGTAACGCTGGTGTTGCTGTAATTCAAGCTAATCATGGAAATAAACTGATAAACATTGTTCAGAACTGATTTCCCTGTATTTCATTCCGTGAGCAACCTGAAAATCTCCTGTTCAATTCGTTGTGGCCAGCAGGTGCTGCTGGCGATTCACGGGATGGAAGCGAAGGGCTCTGGGAAAGGCACTTGGGAATCTGACTTAACGTCTCCTCTCGGTTTTTTTTAATGTTTCAAACAAATTTAACAAGCCTGACGAGGAAAAAGTTTTCTGTATTGAATCCAGGTCTCTGAGGATCCAGATCTACCTCAGCATCGAAAGGCACTTGGGAATCTGACTTAACGTCTCCTCTCGGTTTTTTTTAATGTTTCAAACAAATTTAACAAGCCTGACGAGGAAAAAGTTTTCTGTATTGAATCCAGGTTTCGGAGGATCACCGATACAGATCTAGCTCAGCATCATACAGTTCAGACTAAACATCTAAAAATGAATGTTGCTGCTTCACAAAGGTATTGATGGTTGCTTACAATGGGATGATCCAGAGAAGGTTCCTCCCTTGGGAGAGAATACTGCTTTGTGGTGAGCACTACCTGGTGACTCGCTGCATTCATGCAAAAATCATTAGTGGGTTTTTCAAGAATTAAGGTTCTTACAACTGGGTCAGTCCTGGACTAGTAAATGTAGAGAGATTGACAGAGTTAAAGAGCCTTTTGCTGGGAATGTAATATCTTTGAGTTGACAGCTTCTGCTTTTCTTCACACGGCTCCTCGCTGGGAAGAGGCTGATGTTTTCTGGCAGCGCATTAGTGCTGCAAACTTGTTCCTAGCAAGAAGGAACCCAGGAGTTGCATCAGCACCTTCACAGACTTCTTTCTGACCTAGAGCTGCCAGTTTCTCTGCAAAGCTATGGCTGTTGCAGCGGTGCGTAGTCTCACTTTTGCACACTGCGACATGGTGAAATGATGCTGGGACAGGGTAGGAGCACAGAGCTTCCCCTTCCCCCTTATTCATGGTAGCTTTTTCTCCTTAAAATATGTTGCTTCTCCTCCTCGCTTTTCCAGGACTTAGGGTAAGCTGAGTCCCGCTTTATTGCTATTTGAGGGGGAAAGTTTTTAAAAAATAAATTCAGAAGGAGGCAAAACAGGAGGCTTTACTCTTCCAACAGGAAAGAAAACACTTTGCTTCTGCCAGCTGTTGTTGTTTTTCCTTACTCTATTGTTTCCTCCTAGTGTGCTGTGACTTCTTTGTTCTCCAGAGAAAACAAGCTTTGTATTTGTGGAGAGAGCAGCTTTGATTAATGAAAGCAAACAGCCACTGCTTTGTTATTGTCTGTACGATGCTCTGATATTTACTGTTTTCCAAACATGATTCCCGCTGCGCTGGAAGGAATCTCTTAACTGGAAGCTGGGAGAGGAGAGGTGGGTTATGGAGGTTATTAGGCCTGTGGTGGATTGGATATGCATGCTGGATTTCATTGTGCATCGTGATCGAAAGCAGAACTCCAGCAGATCAAGAAGGCAATTAAGTAAGCAAACATTTATACAGGGGAACAGTGTTCTTCCTTTTAACCATGGTTGGTTTTGCCACTCTTCCTGCACAAGCTTCAGGCATTTTGTTCTGTTTTTCCATCTGCCTGCCTTTCTCTAGCAACTTTCGTTTCCTAAAGGCTTTGCTTGCATTGCCCTTCCATTCCCTCTGTTAGGATCACCCTCGCTCAAGTATTGACATTGTGCGGTAAAATAAATATGGGGAGCGGGGGCCACGCTTGCTTCCCGCATCAGGCACGTTAGTACGTGACTTAGGATACCATGATCTACATGCACTGTGGTCACGGTTGGGTTTTCCTTGTAGGTCTAAGGAATGGATAAAAATGTATTCCTTACGGTGTGCAAAAGAGTAATGCAACGAGGGAAAGGGCATCAAGCTGAGCTTTGGCCACGCATCGCTCACCCCAGGAAGCCTTTTTTGCTTGTAGCTGTTCCCCAAGTAGTTTATCATCTTTAGGATTGGTGTTGGTCGGTAATCTCTAGCTGGCTTGATGAGATTCCTCTGCTTCTCTAGTCAAAGCCCTGACACGTGCAGCTTCACGGCGATGTGCCGGTACTGCTGGTGGCCTGCATATCTGGATTAATGACAGTGGCGAGTGCTTCAACCAACCTCAGGCCTAATTAGAAACTAGGCACCAGCCAAGTACCTAAGATAGAACTGGGTAGAAGGGAAGCAAGATTCACGTCAGTAGATAGTTAGGAGAAGTGGCTGGAGCTTGAAAAGTCCTGCGGCATAAGATTCCCCATAATGGATTATGCACCTGGGAAATGACAATTAAACTGTGCTGAAGTGGGAAGGGTTGAGTGGGGAGTAAGAGGATTCTCAACAAGATCTGATGGGTCTTTTAGGTGTCTGAAAGTCTCGTGTGCGTTCTTAGAGTACTAGGAGTTAATTCAGCTCCCTGTTAAGTTAATGAACACCACCACACTTAAAGCCCTCAACTCTCTGCTCTTCGCACGTGATTTATTCTTAGTTCTGCCGTATTTAGGACTGCAGGAGAGTCTTAGTGGTGCTGCTGCTAAAGACTGTCAGGCTTGTGATCCCGCTTCTTCTCTGAACTTCTGATTTTCCTCGGACAACAGGGATGCTACAGAAGTACGTATGCATTTTTAAGGTGTTGAGCGTGAGTTCCAAACGGGCTGGCTCGTGCTAAACTGCAAGCTTGCTTTATCAACCTCCTAGCACACCCCTGGGTTAGAGTGACAGCGGTGGTGTGATCGGAGAGCAGTGCACCGAGGGGGAGGTGAGCTTCTGTTTCCCCCCCCGTAGGCTCACAAAATGATCGTGTGCTTGTTTGTTTCAGGTTATGCCTTTTCGAAGGGACACAAACTGAAAAAGCAAGCGCTATTACCAGCTGTAAACATTGCCTTCTCCCCTCTTTGCCTGAAAATAAGTCGCACCTCTAATGACTTAACAAACAAGGCTAGAAGGGAAAAAAATATTTTTGCTTTGTGTTTCCTTTGTGCTTTTTACAGCTCTCAGTGCTGTCAGTGTCATTGTTTCCCCTTTATTGTCCAGTAATTTCCCCTCTTGTCCACGTGGGTCTTTCCCACAACAGAGGAGAGAAAAACAAGTACAAAAAGTAGGAAAACACTATTGTAAAACCAAAGAAAGAGGGAGGCTGCCTGTGCTGCGGGCAGGTGGAAGGTCAGAACTCGTTTTCACACATGAAGCAGAAACGAAGGTGATAAGGACTCTTTAAACTTTCCGGCATTAGCTTAACTCATGGAAAAAGCAGACTTTTTGGCTAAATTTCATACTGCCCCAGCAGTAGCCTTTTGCTGATGGCTTTTCTGTCTCCTCGGACCAGATTGTCAGCAGCTGTAAGCAGCACTTTAGAGCTCAGCACACAGACTTTCCAATGAGTTTAGCCTGTTGGCTGCAGTGCTTATTTTGAAAATCCAGTTCAGATCAGTGCTGATAACTCAAAAACTCGTTCCAAAGTTACATCTGGTTCTCCAGTGTCCCTGGGTGGGCCAAGTCTGTTGTCAAGACTCTCTTGAGAATTACTTGGAGCTATTTTTTGTGCTGTACAGAGGCCCATCAGTTAGCAGGCTGATGCTGAATGAAGCAAACCTTGGTTAGATATTATTATTTTTTTTTTGGCTACGGCAATCATGAAATAACAAGCCCTTGTTTCTCCTGCCTCCTGTGTCTCCATGAAATCTACCTTCAGATCTCCTTCCTTCCTTCCTTCCTTCCGCCTCTGCTCGGTCTCCATTGGGATCCCCTTCCATTCTTGGTGTCACGTAGAGGGAGAGCTCTCTTACTATGCTTCTTCCCACGCTTACTCCCCATCTGTCTGTTATTTGTTCTTAGGTTTTGGGTTTTTTTTTTTCCTGCCTGTGTCCAGGATCCTTCACATGCAGCTATTTCCCATACAGCTGCCTTCTGGAACCAGTGTCCCAGCCTGCGAGGACCCTCCCACGTGGCTGCCCAGGCTGTCCTGGTCAAAGGCTTCCCGGCTCCCCGTGAAGATGACCTTGGAAGCCACGTTAGCCCATGCTTTCGCTTTGGCTTCCACCGAGGAGTCCCTGAGCAGCAGCCCACAGAGGTGACAGCAGCCAGTCCGCTCCATTTTGGGAAAATGTAAAGTTTTAGGCAGCAGCTTCCCCTGAACTTCCTCTGCAGCTCAGCTTTTTGGCGTCTTCTGTATCGAAAGGAGAAGGGCTCACCTTTCCCAGCTGGGGAAAAGCCATGCTTCAGACTAGCTCTGGTCAGCAACCACGTTACTGCCCACCCGCCTCCCTCACACTCCATAAAGTCGACAGCTGAAGCTCCCTTATTTGCAACACGAAGCTTTGCAGAGGTTTTCCACAAGCCCGGGAAGTCCTACTGGGTTTGGCTCAAACAGCCAAATCATCTCTTACAGGGTCTAGCCAAGCACTTGCATTTTTCACCGACTCTTGTTGCTTGCATTGTTTGGCATTTGCAGATCAGGCTGTAAATAAGGTTTGCCATCATCTTCCCTCTTTCCACTGGGTGGTGGGTTTTTGTTTGTTTGAATTTTTTTTTTTTTTAAACAAGCTGCCCTTCTCCCCCCAGTTTCTTAAAAGATCCTGAGACAGGGAAGAATAGATGTGGTGGAAGTATCCAGCATCATTTGGGATTGTATCTCACTTTAGCTACTTCACTAACCCAGTAGTCTTGTCTTTACGACACTTTTTCTCCTGGACACTCTCCTGGAATGGGTGTAGTGCTGGCAGGCAGGATTTCGCCAAGACGAGCAAAGGGACATAGCTCAGGAGCTGGGATCGCCGATACGTTTGGCCTTTTGTTAAGTCAGGGGAGACGAACAAGATACTCTTTGTTGCTTTCTAGATTGGGGCACTCAACCTGTTTAGGTGAGGTGAGGAAAAGTCTTGCCTCTGTTCAGAAAAAGATGTCAACTTGAAGTAAGGAGAGAAAAAGATTTTTTTTTAAAATTTCATGTATTCAGGCTTCCTCCAAGGTAAAGAGCTTATCTTATACCAGCTTCTTAAAATAGTTGTTCATGCCCTGTCAGCTCTCCCCGCTCAGTTGCTTGCTGTTGAACTGGAAGATCAGTGTGTTAATTCAGTGTGTTAATGCTCTTTTTTTTTTTTTAATTACATTGTCTCTGATGAGTCTATTCCTTTTTGGGGGGGTGGGTGAGAAAAGACTGTGTTTCTACCCAATGTCTTTTTCTCAAGTTTTTCAATGGCATGAACACTTAGCACCAGCAACATGCTCTCAGCGTTCCCCTCCTTGAAATGCCTAAAGCAAAGGGTTTCCAGCAGGAGCAGGTGCTTGAAATTTTCACCTTCCATGAGTCCTTCTCCTTGGATGCTGCAATATTTTATTTTGCTTAGAAGGATGGGTTGTGTGAGCCTGCGGTCTATGCTTGATCTGCAACTGCCGCTGAGGTAAGCACCTGACTGACCAAAGCTCCCAAGCTTGCAAGAGATGTATTGATGAAATCTGTACAGTGGGTTGAAACTTCTGCATTCTGATTGCTCGCAGAACGATCCCCCAGAAAGTGGGAGCTGCTTCTGTAAAGGCATCACTTTTGTTGCTTAAATGTGAGTTTATGCCTTGATAACAGTATGCATGGAAAAAAAAAAAAAAGGTCCTTGAAATGGCCTTCCTCTGAAGAACACGGAGCACCTACCCTTTTAAACAGTTTAGGAAAGAAGATGGTGAGTATCTTGGGGAGTAGGTGAGTGAGAAGATACGATTATATATGAGAAACATTCTTGTCCAACAACAAAATGAAGACAGGTTTGGTTTGTGGGCCTGATAGACAGAGGAAAGCAGGTACCTTTCGGAGCAAGAGCTACAACTAACTTTTAAAAGCCTGCAAGCAATGGGCTGAGATCTACAGACTAAATGGTTGTTAAAACTCTTACGTGATGTGAAGAATGAGGTTGCACATGAACGTTTCATTTATAAAGCGTTAAAAGGCTTATCTCAGCAGATCCATCAGCAGCCTGGAGCACAACCAAATTTCTCTATTCAAATTCTCTACCACATCGTTTTCATTGTTTGCAAGCCGTACGCTGTAACGGTAGCTGCGCGGTCAGCCTGTTGTGACCTGGCACCTGACCCACCTCAGGAAATAAAGACCGTATTTTTACGAATGCTTGTTTTTTTGCCCACAACAGTAAGAGTGAAAGATGCTTCTGGCCCTCATCCTGGCTTGGAAATCGGTGCTCTCTGCAGTGCTTACTTCTCTTGAGTTTAAAACAGTAAGAGCATGTTCGTTCTTTTTTTTTCTCCCTTTCCCCAGATTTACCATCATTACCAGTTATGTTGGAAAACAAAGGAAACCTGCAGGATTCAAGATGCAAACCTGAGCAGGCATCATGTAGTCGCAGTGCAGTTTACAGTCAAATTACCACAGAAGAGTGCAGCTGTCAGTTTTGGTTAGGGAAAGCTCTGGCCTTAAGGGCTTATAACTTGATGAAGGGTGCAATAACTTGAATTTTCTAGGAAATCTTATAATTGCGTTGCTTTAATTCAAGGTCTGTGCTCCCCACACCCCCCTATTTTTGTGGGGAGATGGGGTAAGAAGAATAGTACATGTATGCCAATTTGGAACGCACCTTTCACGTTTGAGCTTTGTGCTGTTTTGTTTCGGTTTTCTCTCTTTTTCCAGATGAGGGCTGTGCTCCTCAAGTGACTTAATGCTTCTGAGAAATGCCACTTCAAACCTGCTTCTCAGGCCATTACAGATTCAGGTGCTAGATCCTACAGTAGCAAACTGCTCATTTGGAGGTTGCTTTTCAGTACATTTGGTCTTGACATGTACATACAGGCTGCTAACCAGAGAAAAACATACCACGCACACATATATACACGCAGACACTTAAAACTAAGGTGTTTATTACAAGCTACCTTTACCATAGTCAGTGCTGGCAGAGATGTGCCCTCTCCGTGGCGGTGTAACCAGACAAACGCATAGTGTCTTGGAATTCCTTCGGTCTCAGCCCTGTGCGGCCCGTTTGAAGGATCTCCACTCTGAGAACTGGTGTCACGGTGCTGAACACCAATGTAAACACGGCCAAAATTCAAAACCCCAGGTGTGCAAAGAATTTCAGCATATAGAGGACTTTGTGAAAGGTTTTTGTTTGAGATTTAATTTAATCAACATACACACCTACTGCTTTCCTTAAAAGATCATTACAAGCCTCTGGAAAAGGAGTGTTATCGAGCAAACGTAGACGCTTGGCTTCTGTCCTCACCATTGTTGTTGCTGGCAGACATACTGACATGATGCCGTATATTTAAAGGAGGCCAAATATATTCTCACTGGCATGTAGAGGAAGTTTCCACAAAAGTCATACAAGAGAAAACACTGAGTGCAGAGATCTGTTCTGCTGTGTCCATGCAACGTTCATCCAAATGGCCTACTCGTGAGAAAATAAATAGTGCTTTATAACACTTTCCACTAAGAAAACAGGGCAATGGTTGAATTTAAAAGCACGAGGTACGGGAAAAACTTCTCACGGCCAAATGTAGTCTGTGTCATCTTCGTTGTCATCCGTTGTCATCTTCGTTATTCTGTGCTTCAGGGTGAGCAATCAGCTATCCTGTAACCAAAAGAAGATAGGCACTTACTTACATGCTAGCAAAGATGGTCAATAAAAGCATGAGGCTTTGGAAGCATAAATTTTACGGGTGACAGCCACAGAAATCAGACCCATAGCCTGCCCTAGCCTGGACTCGTATATCTATCAGAATGCTCATTCTTGTGAATCTAACATGGGACCCCGAACTGTGCATTGCAAGGATACAACAGCACAGAATTTGGTCAGATACCTGCCAGGCTATTTTAATGATTTTCAAAAAGAAAAGTGCCCCCAACTCCTGAAAGCACGTCCTGACACCAAGAGCCAAGCCCCCAGTTACAGCATTACAGTAAATGCACACTGCAGTGTACAAAATGGGGATCTATAGATGATTTGGCATTCTTCTGAAAGTAACTCTTGTGCAAGAAGCAATGGCAAATTTGAATGAAAAAGCATCCTGAAATTCATAAAATAGCCTTATGGGACCTCAGACTCTAGCAGATTTTAAACTCTCTTGGCTACTTCTGCAACTCACCTCAGATTCTTGTCTTTCTGGGAGGGTTTCTATTCCGTTGTGACCCTGTATGTGGTGCGGGGCCTCCGCTTCTAGCTCTATATCAGCCTGCACGGTGGGCTTTTCGTTCTCCCATTTTGCAAAGCCTTTGTTCTTCCCAGCTTTGCCATGGAACTTGGACTTCATTTTGGGGAAAGTATGGGAACCTGAATCATTCCAGCCTGGCTCATGCCAGAGTGGTTCTGTCTGTGTCGCTTGGCTGGTGGTTGCCCTCTGCAGCCGCACTGAAATTTTCCGTGAAGAGCCAGTGACGAGGGTGATAGCTCTGCCGTCGAGGTCCTGGTGTTCCGCAGCAACACTGGGAAATTCAAATACTTCATCTTGGACTGAAAGAGAGGGCAGAATTATTTATTTTAAATAGTCTACTTCAAGATCTTTATAAAAAGATAACTTAAGCCTGGGGCTGGGGTGAGGTAACCCCCTATATGAAGCACGGTATAATCAGCAATATCCATACGCTGCTTGGAAACTGATTCTGGTTTTGTGTGTGCATGTTTCCTTCTCCCTCCATCTGCACACTCAGGGCATAAGGCAGAGCTAGAACTGTGCCCTATGTCTCCCAGCCCCTAAGTGTCTTATAAAGAGAAGTACAATTTCCCTAATTATAATTTTATTTCTTTTCAGCTGGGATTGGGGTGCCAGTATAAAGGATAGTGAGCCTCAGGCTGAAAAGAAATAAGCAGGGCAGCACCCGTGGCTAAGGCCAGCGCTGCAGAAAGGGATGTTGTAGTCTGAGCACTGAACACAAGCTGCGGTGCACTGGAAAGTACACGTGCTGCTCTGTGCGTGGGTACAAAGGAAAAATTTAAAATGGCAGCAAGGACACTGGCTGGTAGAGAGGATTGCAGAAATGGTTTTAAATAGGAAGAAAAGTGCTCTCACCTGGAGGTATAGACGGACTGCTAGGCAGAGAGCCGTGGTTGCTGCCTACTGAGGTTCCTCTGGAAAATTTCCTGCAGGCCAGCACAAGCAGGTCTCTGCATTGCTTATGACAGTTGGCACCGCAATCTGTAAAGAAAGGAATGGTCAAGTCACCCGATGGAAAGCCACAACTATCTGGTAATCCCTCAGGGCTATCAGCAGACAGATACCAGGAGGGACTTTGAAGGAACAAATACTTTGGCAGAAGGTGTGAAAGGAGTTACAGAAATGGATCTTTTGGTGTGAAGGGCGTTACAAAAAACAGATCGTTTCCATGGCAGTCATGAAAAGAAATCTAGCAGCAGAAGGGAAGAGGGGGATGATATTTTCATCAGCAATTACTCTCAAGGAAGCAACCTGGAATTACTGGTATGATCTTGTGTACGCAGTGCATAAAGGTTCTGCTCCACCGCATAAGGCTCCAAAAAAAAAAGGTTTTGGTTTGTTTGTTTTTTTTGAATTTGACCCAGCAGGGCCCATTATAGTAAACACACTTGGTCAGAAGACACTGGCGCTCCCATACTCTGAGTCTCTGGCAGGACAGCTGGAGGTCAGTGTAGACCACTGTGAGTTAAAACTAGTCTAAGTAGCTCAGCTCAGCAAGCAACCTCAGCCCAGAGTAAGCTCCGTGGAGGTGTATCATCCACCCGGCCTCTGCTGGGCTTTGCAGCACTGCAGCTACACTCATCACGAGGTACATTTACCTGAAGTGTGACAGCAATACGGGTCTTATCTGCAAGAAAGGGCCAAAGGGTGGAGGATGCGTGCCCCAAACACAGGCTCGCTCTCTCCTCTGTGTCCCTTGCCCTTGTTTCAAAATTTCTGTCTCCCTTGTCTTGCTGTTGCTGCTCTGCTCCATGACCTAACATTTTGTTCGAGGTGCGCCATTGCCAAAGCGTTGTGTTTATAACTCTTTGCTAAAAGAATCATTCTGCTCGGGGCAGCAGCTCTAGCGTGATGGGTTAGAGTTCTGGTTTCTCCCATCACCTTGTCCATATGACTAATACAGAAGTACCTGCCCAGCTGTGGTTTTGTCTGCCCTAAAGGTCAAATCCCCCCAATACGGTAAAGATCTCTCTTGGCAGTGGAGAACCTCTTTCACCACCTGTAGACCACGCAGTCTAGCTTTATCCCATTATCCCCAGTGCCGGGGGAAGCAGCAGACCTGAAGAGATGAACTCCCTCCCTCCCTCGCCCTGCTAGCCCAGCATCAGAGGTTCAGCCCAGCAGATGACAACTCTGTGCTCAAAGCAGCAATCACCCGTGATGGGAGACGGGCGCTCCAGCCGTGCTGGCACAGGGAGCAGCTGGTGGCTGCTGCAGCAAAGGGCAGGCACTAATTACACTTGTTGAGCACTTTAAGAGCTGAGCGAGCAGCTCTGCTCTCTTACTCTCATGCTCCATTGCCTGTAATTTTGACTCTACAGAACCACTTTTGCTCTCGCTCCGCTGGGACACTGTTACAAGCAATGATGCAGGACAGAGCTCAGCTTTCCGATCTCAAGTTGAGTTTACAGGGCTGCTGGGACAAATCCCTAGCTTCCTTCCCTCGTACTGCCAGTCAAAGTATAGAATGCAACCAGCCCTTTCGTAGCTGCTCAGATGACAGTAATTGGGAAGAGCTGAATTACACACATTGGTTTAGCTACGGACATTTTCCCCACCCCTCTCTGAGGAAGAGATGTTCATGGGTGGAGAGGGAGACAGGGATACAGTGCGTCCTAAAAACCAACACTGCCTATTTTTCACCCTTCTCCTAGGAGCCAGTGTAAGACTAAAAGGGAAAAGAGTGCATATAAATAGAACCATGAAGCCCCATCATGAATGTTCCCCAGTGAATAACAGCGATGCAACTACAACCGTGAAAATCAACAGTGCCCTTCAGCCAGAGCTAGGCTGCTTGAGAAATAAATAGGTCCAAGTCTTTAAAGCCAATGATGAGGATCACTACAATGTCATTCTTGGTCTGACCTGCTCAATATGGTGCAAGTACTCCATTAGACATTTTACAAAAGTAATAGGGCTGTAAGAGCTCTAGGATTTTTTTTTAAAGTTGAACGGCTGGAGAAAATCTTGCAATGAGATCTGCTGGGCAGGCTGGGAATTAAATATTTCTCTATTTCTAGCTCAGCTACTGTTGCATCGCAAGGCCAGTCAGGCTTGACTACAGGCATGCAGATGTACATGACAGACAGCATTGCCAGCAGACCTTTTCCTGACCCCAAGTCTCAGGAGATATATTTCAGGATGTCTCGGTGTTAGGATGAGGACACTTGTTTTTCCAAGATGCAAGGTCTTTGCTGGTAGAAAATGACATCTCATGGAGTCAGCGGCTGCTTTGGACCTTTAGCTCATGGAACCTGTGTGTTCCTACTGGGTGCTACATCCCCTAATGCAGCGACACTTCATAGTATACCAGCAGTCACTGTTCACGGAGAGTACCAAGTGTAGAAGCAAAATTTGGACAAACAGCAGTCATTTAAATAAAAAAATACAGTTGACCTACTTGTGCTAAAACCCCCCATCTATAGCTTGAAAAAGCCATGCAATATTTATTTACCTTTGCATTTGTAGCCTTGTTTGATTATACCCCAGAGCTGCAAAGAAAGACAAAAGAACGTCAAGGAATCAGAAAAGAAAGCTGGAAGGAAAACAAGGTCACAATGAGGAAGTACCAATGGCTACAAAAGCACAAACAGGATACAACTGCTCTTAACACCCTTCCTGTCAGGCAGACCTCCCCCTCTAATTGTGATAAGACTTGTGTGGCTTCCCTCTTATTTCTACAACTTTCAGTGGCACTACCAGACAAGAAGAGAGACAGATGACATTTGCTTCCAGGAATGAGTGAAAAATGGCCATCATACCAAGCTTACTGAAACCAGGAAAGCACATTCTGCTTCTAGGCTCACTTGGTGTTATCTGCAGGGGAATTTCCAGTGTACATCCATTCTCCAGTTACGTGAATGACCTGTGCCATTCAAACACAGCAGAAGAAAACACCACTGGGGGTAAAAATTAGGTTCTTGGTTCCCATACTGGTCCCCAGCACACCTAGCCATAGCAATCTGATTTGTCCACCTGACTTTTTCCATTAAAAAAAAAAAGGTTGAAGACTGAAATAGGCGGAAAAGCCACTAAAATCCATCTTTGCCTCTTCCCAGCAGCTGTTCTTGTTGACATACGTAACAACCAAATGCTAAACTTCCAGGAGGCGATGTGTGCGGTCCCACTTTTGGGAAGCTTTCACATGTTGCACATGAGCAGGATTGCTTGGAAGTAGGAGAATTCCCTAGCAAATTGTAACCTATACACTCAGAATCACTGTATCTGCAGCCATGGCATGACAAAACCAAACATTTTCACTCTGAGAGGCAGAGAGAGAGGAAGGGGCAGTTTTTCTAGCTCTAGCATTAAAGGAAAAAAAATTGGGGACACCAGTGTTTATCCTGAACTAATTTGAAACATTACCAGGGAGGGTGAGCACATCCAGGCAGTTGAAACTGCATGTGGCTCCTCACCGTATTTATAAGAATCCATGCAGGTGGTGAATATGGTCATTAAAGAACAATTCAAAAGGACGAGCTGGAGAACATTCAGAATACAAAGGAAAGAGTAAAATAAACAGAATATTTTTGGGGGGGGGGGGGGAATTCCATACGCTGTACAAAAGAATTTGCAAGGAAAAATGGGGGCTTGGAGAAAGCAAAATAGATTAGACAAGGTGGAAGAAGGGTGAATAAAGAATAGAAGGGACAACAGTGGAAGCAGGGTCCACAGAAAGCCTGCCGCTTGTTCTGTTTTTTCTGATGCTGTACATATGCACAGCGAATGCAGTTGCTGCGGTCAGGCAGCGACAGTGGAGCCCCCCAGCCCCTCTTGGAGAAGCAGCAATGACTTTTTGTTTCCCAGGTCTCTTTGTCAGCATCCCTTTAAGAGACACAGATTGTTATTTCTTTCATTTAAGCTCTAATCTGTTCCCTCTGAAGAGCTTTCTCCTCACCTTCTCAGCTCTGTACCTTCCTCCTACTCAAATTTGGCACCACTATTGTGGTTACATGCAGCAGTGAAAGCTTAGCTGAAGTGCCGTGTCATGAATTCTGACCTAAAGCTTTGAATCTGACACAGCTTTGCTGCAAAGCTGGCTTGAGCCAGCTCCAAGGTAAGAGGATCTGTGCAAATTCAGACTATAAAGCTCAGCGGGACGGCTGGTCACCTCCCCTGCCACGTGGTGCAACTCAAGCTGTGGGACGGAACTGTGACCGGCCCTGGGCATATCAATTCCCTGCTGCTTAATGGCATTAGGTTTTAGTTTGACCTTTAAAGTTCGTGTCGTTTTAATAACAGATATTTTATTGAATGCTGTGTGCATTGCCCTGTCATGTCAATTCATCCTGCTGCACTGTCAGCGCACATTATTTTGACTGCGAATCAGTGCATCAGTTTGAAATTAGGTTTCCGCCCGTGGATGAGCAGCACTGAAATGCAGAACAAATACGCAGCAGATTTTGTAGCTGGTTCCTGTCCTATCAGTCCAACTCATCCACAGGACAATGCCAATGCCTTCAGTGAGCTGACAGGAAAAATGACCTTATTTCCATTTCCCGTACAACCCCTTACTCATTTGTATTCCTGCACTGGATGTAATCAGGGAGATGTGAAAAATCCAACAATGGCCAATTAGCAAATTGATGCAGGAGAAAAATATCTGGTGGAGAGGACATTGCAGGGCAGCCCTCAGGCCTTGCTTTGCTATGGAAGTCTTCCAAACATGAACTGAGTGTCACGAACGCAGGAACAACTTCCCGAGGCTGCAGGCAGCCTGAAACAATAGGCTCAGGCCAGCGACCGCCCCTGCCCCATCAGTCTGCTGGAGCTGTCAGCTCAAGAGCCCACCAGCACGCTCCTGAGTCAGCACTGACCATGTCCCCTCCAAGGTTTTTGCAGTTCTAGCGGAAATAGATGGAATTCCTTCCTCCCCATGGCCTTCATCAGCAGTTGTGATAGGGACCATGAGCATCTGAACAAGACCGACACGTCGCAAAAGAAGCGAGCGGAAGATGGGAGCATGGACAAGAACAGGAACACCAGAACTGGTCTGAAAGGAGGCACATTTTTGCACCTAGCAGTGCTGTTATTGTTACTTTCAACCACGAAGAAATATTACTCAGTCGAAAAGTTCACGTAGTAAAAACTGGAGATTTTGCTGCTGATAGCAGAGGCAGATCTGCGCTGGAGAGTGGGGATGATGGTCTGAGCTCACACCCTGTACGTGGGCCACACGTAAGGAGAGCACATGGCCCTCCGCCCTTATTGCTTTAGCTGTCTAAACGTGGACATTTGATTTCAGTGGGGTGTGTGCATTAAAGTAACTTTTAAATCATAGTAATTCCTTTTTCTTTACTATACTTGGTTTGAAGTGGAAAAGTTGGAGGAGGTTTACAAGCAACACAGATGTTCACAAAACCCAATCATTTCCCAGCTATGTACAGAGCACTCTAATAAGCGGCATCTGGTAAGTTATAGCTGAGAGAAAAAGCAAATTAAAAAAAAAATTAAAAATTCTTATTGTACAGAACTGCTGGAAACACTTTTGATTTCTTGACCAAATGAGGAGATCTGTTAATTCAATAGAGAAGGGATTAAGGCTGTTATGGCCATTCAGAGAATTATGAACATAGCTATGTTGCCATGTGCAATTTCCTGAGAAAGAACGGCTTTTGCTTCATCGACATCCTCTGTTCCAGACACCCATTTTCCCTTGAGCTTGTTTACATGGGAAATCAAGCCAAATTAAAGAACTTAAGATAAACCAAGTAAAGCCATTCATATAGTCTCTAATATCCTTTAGTTAACATAATTTCATTTTTTTCCTCCTGCAACAGTAATTCTTACAAATGCCAGTATTCAGGAACCACTAAAACAAAACTGGATAGCACAGCTACAACATGAGTAAATGTTTTGTGCTTCTGAATGCAATGAGATATTTGGCCAAGAGACTTTAGCGGGACGTGGAGCCAGTTTCACCCTTAAAGTTAAAGGGTGAAAAATTCTGTCTAAGATATACTATTATTAAAAACATACTTACAAATCCTGCACAGTGCTCACAGAAAGTTGGTTTAAGATAGGTCATCTCCTGAAAGTTATGAATAAACCCTGGTCCCATTTTACACTGGAACTGTGATTTAGCTCTCAGAAAGTAAGCCATCATTTCTTCTTTGCTTATAAGACCATCTCTGTTAGGGAAAAAAAAGGTAGAGTAGATCTGCTCACGACACTGAACAATTCAGGATTTTCTCATTGCAAAAAGCACACAGCACGCAAAGCACATTCTTTGAAAGAGCTGCAACAGTCCTGGCAGAAAAAACAACACCCTTACAGCCTTTGTGGTTCTTATCCTTCATTAAACACTGAAATTATAGCATGGACCTTGGTTTCTCACCTGTTCGTGGTACCAGAGCACAGACCAGGCCATTAAGTGAAGGATCTTGACCTACTGCTCACACACTTCAAGCAGTTATGCCCTTGACTGACCACCAGCCTTGACAGCCAAAGAGATTCTGGACAAGAAGAATTATCAAGCCCAGCTGGCTAGGAAATATATATTATATATATCTCCTAGAATATTTGTAACCCTCTCTCTGCTACATACACTCATTTCCCCTGTCCCGTACCTAACTTATTTGTTTCATCAGACCAAAGCCTGGTCTGGATATAGCATCTCCACTGCAGTTTGACGGTACTCTAAGGGTTTTGACTCAGTCGCAGCAGC